TTCCACAGTAGCCTGTGTACATTGTCAGAGGCGGCTCACTTGTGGGGAGCTGTTCTCAACAGCAGATTGTAGCTGGGCCATAGCAAGGTCCCTCTCTATTCTCTTAAAAATGAACACACCAAAGCAAAGCAAACATGCCGTTCATTTGTCTACACATCTGTCTCAGGATGTATGTATGATACAGCATATCACTAAAGGCCTGCCATTCCCCTCCACTCTTAGAGACATCCAAGAGAAATACATTTTTATCTCTCTCATTTTCAAATGCTACACTAGAATCCCTTTGGGAATTGAAAGCTAGAGAACTGCATTAGAGAAACTTTTAAAACTATGGATGCCTTCTGAAAAGGCAGCCCATTTGGAGACAAGCCTGGTGAGAGATAGCAACCTATATTCCTGTAAAGCTGGCCCTTTGTTTTCATCACTAGGGAACATGAACACTTAAAAGGGGGTTTCTGTAGCTTGAAAGTTTATCCATCTTTCCTCTGCTACTGCCCAGATCTATCTGGTACCATTTTTAAAGATCAGATCAAATAAAATCTCTTCTATCAGGGCAGAGGTATCTCTAGCCCACACTGACCTCCTTTGCTCTCAAGCCTGTAGCGTTTAGTGTCTGTGTTAATGTATGATACTGCCTTGAAGTGAAATATGGCAGTTTCAAGTCCCTGGATGTGTTTTTTTCTCCTAAATAAATTTCTTTATTTTTGTACTCCTTTAGTGCCTAAAACAGTGCTATGATTGATATTAATAGCTCACATTTTTATATCAATTAAAGTTTTCTAAGGATCTTTATACATATTTTCTTTCTTTTTTTTTCTGATCCTTGAAGCCTGGTACTGTCAAAAGAATAATGATTATTACTATTTTATTTTTTTGAAACAAACAGTACTAAGTGAATTGCCCAGAGTCACTGAGCTAGTAAGTGTCTGAGGCCAGATTTGAACTCAGGTCTTTCTGACTCCAGGTCTGGTACTCTGTCTGCTGCACCACCTACCTGCCCCAAGAACAATGATTTTTACACCAGAGGACTTGGGCTCAAGTCCTGCCTCTGACACTTTACCTGTGTGACTTTGGACAAATCTCTTAACCTTCCTTGGCTTTAGTTTTCTCATCTATAAAAATGAAGGCATTGGAGTAGATGGCCTCTGAGGTCTTTTAGATCTATAAGAAGAAGGCTGATAGTATTTTAATACCCATTTAATAGATAAGAAAGCTAAAAGTGAGAAGAGTTGTGCCTTGTCAAAGGACAAATAGCTAAGTGCCTGGGGTGATAGTTGAACCCAGGTTTTCCTGAATTAAGGCCTGGCACCCTATCTACTATGTCATGCTAACTGGATGTACTCATGCATTCATTCATATGTGTGTATGTGTACATATATATGCCTCTGTGTGTAGCCCTGAAATAGATTTGTAAAGTTTCTGAAGATTAAATTAAAAGGTAAGCATCCTAATATTCATATCATATCTAGCCCCTAATCAAATTCTACAACATCTTGACTACAATATGCTCACTTAGCTTAGAAATACAGGTCTCATTTTGGAATTCATGGAAATTTAGAGTAGGCTTTGGCTGAAATTTATCTCTGCCTTGTTAGTAAAAAAGGAGATTCTTAATGCACATGAACATTGAAACAAAATTTGAAGGCGGTGTTTTGCTACACTCAGTGTATAAAATACTTTCAAGCACTTACCTATTAAAAGTGTTTTGTAAACCTTAAAATGCTATAGAAATTCTAGTTATTGTTATCATTATCATTATGTAAACAGTGCCCTCGTAAAGTAAGCAGGAGCCATATTGACTAGAATGGTGCTAATTTGAAATCTTTCATGTCTAGTCATTGAAACAGGGCATCTACCAAATAACACTAGATTTGCCTTGTTCTCATTGCTAGGCATACCAGAAAATAACACAGTTCTTGTTTTCTGTGAGAATATTCCATAGTTCAGACTTTTGACTCTTTCTGAATGCACTGTCTCCAGGGTATTATGAATTAGTGGAGCCTGACTGATCATTTTGAGAGGAAGGATAGGTAAATCGCTGGTTTCTCCATTGAACTGGGTCTCTCCACTCACACAGAGGGGCATGTAAAGGAGAAGAAAGTAAGCTTGCATCATAGCATCTCTTGGTGGAAGACATCTAGCCTGACTTCGCACATAGTTCCAGAAGCTACTGATTTAAGTTTGCCTAGCTTCTTACTGGCCTAAACTCTCGAGGTGGCTTAAGCTTTTGTAAGTAGCACAGCATTGTTGTTGTTACTGTTGTTGATGATGATGAAAATAACAAGGTCTTCCAATACTCTCACATTTAAAAAAATATTTATTTTAAGTATTCTTTTATTTTTAAATTTTAAATTCAAAATTCTCTTTCTCCCTCCTACTCCTCCCCCATCCATTGAGAAGACAAGCATTATGACATAAATTATACATGTGAAATCATTAAAAAAACCATTTCCATATTAGCCATATTGCAAAAAGCAAAAAAGCAAATATATATATCTCCCTTAGTTCTCAGAGTTTATCAGTTCTCTCTTGGGAGGTAGACATCATGTTTTCATCATGAGTCCTTTGGAATTGTCTTGGATCATTATATTGATCAGATTAGCCAGGTCTTTTGCAATTGATCATCATTACAACATAGCTGTTGACGTGCATGATGATCTCCTGGTATTTCTTGTTTCATTTTGCAGCAATTTTTATAGATCTTGTCATGTTTTTTTTTTTTTTATAAAACAACCCGTCCTCATCACTTTTTGTAGCACAATAATGTTCCAACACAGTCATATGCTACAACTCATTCAGTCATTCCCCAATTGATGGGAATCCCCTAGATTTTCAAATCTTTGCTATCAGAAAAAAGCTGATATAAATATTTTTGTACGTGCGAGTCCTTTTCCTTTTTTTATTGATCTATTTGGGATACAGACCTTGTAGTGGTATTGCTAGATCAAAGTGTATGCCCAATTTTATAGCCCTTTGGGCATAGTTCCAAATTGTTCTCCAGAATAGTTGGACCAGTTCACTGCTCCACACACAATACATTAATGTATCTATTTTCCTTTATCCCCTCCAGCATTTGTCATTTCTAATAACTGTGAGGTGGTACCTCAATGTTGTTTTAGTTCTTATAATCAATAGTGATTTACAGCCTAATACTCTTTATAAAAATTTTGCAATGCTCAGAAATTTTTAGGCTCTGATGTGAAAGGTAGAGGCAAAGCCAAATAATTAGTAATCTTCCAAAAAAGTTGCTTCAAACTGGACAATAATTTTAAGCATAACTAGAATTATTTGGTGCGTTTATCTTTGCAATGGGTTGCTTCGATGACCTTTGCATAAATCCAACTACAGAATCTTGGAAGGGACTAATTTTATATCTATCTATCTATCTATCTATCTATCTATCTATCTATCTATCTATCTATCTATCTATATTATATTATATTATATTATGTTATATTATGTTATATTATGTTATGTTATGTTATGTTATGTTATGTTATGTTATGTTATGTTATGTTATGTTATATTATATTATATTATATTATATTATATTATATTATATTATATTATATTATATTATATTATATTATATTATATTATATTATATGAAATATAAGCTACCCTCTTGGTAAAAGCAATTGTCACTTGACCCTCAGGGAGCATGCAGTCTCTTCCTTAGGGAAATAGGAAATGTAGCAAAGGTGGTGCATCTCTCTCTCCAGTGCAAAGACATGGGAGCTCAAAGGAATAGGTGCAATCCTATTCCACCATCCTCATTCCTTTTTCCTTGCTACCTTGAGAATCATTAATAAGTCATTTGGACACCCTCCCTGCCTGCTGAAGAGGAAAATGGGGACTTGTGGAGTAATTCAGTAGAATTACCCTGAATCTTTTGACCTAGTAAATGCTGATGTCCCCATGAGCTGCATTGCTTAGACAATGGAGAGAGGAGGCAAATAGGCATCGTGTGCTTATGTGGGTTTGGAGAAAGAGACTGTATTTCAAACCCTAGGAGTCCTCTCCCAGAAAACTTTTCACATGAACCCTTGGGCTGTATTTAAAGAAATCTTAAGAATCACAAAAGTCTAAAGCCATTTGCAAGGTTTTCCCGGTCAGGTTGGTTTGTAAGAGAGTGGAACTTTTGGAATAGTTCAGTGTTAAAATGACCTCTACTTGCTGGAAACTGAGAACAGCAGTAGGGGAGCTATGAAAATTGGGGGGGAGCAGCAGAAGGGGGAAAGAGAAGGGCGGCTATGCAGTGATTGCTGATGTCTTTTGTAAGTAGTAGGAAGTCAGAGTGACTAGAAACAAATAATTATGAGCCAGCAGGAGCTATGGAGATGATCTCCAGTATGGAGGGACAACCCTCATTCTCTACCCCTTTCTCCAATGAGTAACAGTTTTCCCGGGAGAGATGAGGAATGAAAAGTAAATATGTGAGCATTGTCAGTCGTTCTCAAATGTCTTGGAAGAATAATGACCCTTTTGAAAAGCACCATTTTCAAGTCTTAGTTTTAGCTTGGCTGTCCAAATTACATAGTATTCACTTTAATTGCTAATATTAAGAAAGGCCATGGGGGCAGCTAGATGGCTCAGTGGATGGAGCACTGGGATTGAAGTCAGGAAAGATTGAGTTCAAATCTGGCCTCAGATATTTACCAACTGGGTTACCTTGGATAAATCACTTAACCTCTGTTTACCTAGGAAGCAGCTAGATGGCTCGGTGGATAGAGCACTGGGCCTGGACTCAGGAAGACCTGAGTCCAAATTTGGCCTCAGACACTTACTAACTGTTTGACCCTGGGCAAGTCATTTAACTTCTGTCTGCCTTGATCCACTAGAGAAGGAAATAACAAACCACTCCATTATCTTTGCCAAGAACATTTCATGGACAGTGGTCCATAGGATCACTAAGAGTCATGACTGAGGTGCTGCATAGCTGATGCTGGTCTAGTCCTAGCAAGTGACTGCTTCAGCCACTCCAGGACCAGGAAAAAAGCCACCATACCAGGAAAATGGCTGATGGATTTTCTCTTCATGATGCCTTATCTGCACCTGAAAATCCAAACCCACAAGGTTGGCCACAAGATTGGGGAAACCAGCCCCCTGGTACTGCAGCATGCCCAGGATATCCTGGAGCCTACCCTGGTCCAGGACATCCTAGTGCTCCTGGAGCTTATCCATCTTCAGGGCCCATGGTTACCCCTAGTGGACCAACACCTCCTTTGGGAGGCCCACTGATGGTACCTTATGATCTTCCCTTGCCAGGAGGAATTATGCCTCACATGCTAATAACCATTATGGGCACAATGAAACCTAATGCAAACAAACTTGCTTTGGATTTCAAGAACGGGAATGATGTGGCCTTCCGCTTCAATCCTCGCTTCAATGAGGGCAACAGACGAGTAATTGTTTGTAATTCAAAATTCGACAATAACTGGGGAAAGGAGGAAAGACAGGCTATGTTCCCATTTGAAGCTGGCAAACCATTCAAAATTCAAGTGTTCATTGAGATTGATCATTTCAAGGTTGCTGTCAATGATGCCCACTTGTTGCAGTATAATCATCGAATGAAAAATTTCCGTGTGAGATCAATAAGCTGAGCATTTCTGGTGATATTAACCTTACCAGTACCTCACATACTATGATATAAATTTAAAGGAATTTTCCCGTAAAACATATACTTAAGTGCTTCTGATTGTTATGGGAGAAATTTTAAAGGTACAAATACTCCATTACTTTCTTTGTCATACCCACACAAAATTTAATAAATGTTCTTTCACTAAGTATAAAAAAAAACAAAACAAAAACAAAAAAAGAGTCATGACTGAACAACAACAAGAAAGTCTATGTTGCTCTCTTCTCTTTTCTTCTGCAGGTTAAATATTGCTTTATTTTTCTCCTTCAAATATTCCTCATATTAGATTATTCTGGGAATCTTTGCAATTCTAGCAATTATCATATGCTTCACTTTGTCCGAGCCCTTCTAATATGTCTGCATTTCAAATTGAAGAAGGTCTATACTACAATACCCTACAGATCCATCCTTTGCTCTGTGCTGTTTAATGTTTATCAATGACACGGATCAAAGTCCCTTGTGTTAATGGCTTCCTCCTAATCTGAGGGCATCGGATATACTTTGGAGAAAGATTAACTATTCTGGCTCATTACAACCCTTGGAGTGATCTGGGAACAGTGCTATATGTCATTGTCAAAGGTGTTACCACTTCCCCTTTTAAGTATATAGGTTCAAAGGATTTGAAATATTAGTAGGTTTATTTAGAAATTAATAGGAACATGGAAAACTTATATCTGAGCCCATGGTGAGTAAATATACCCTTCAAAGAACAATCTTCCTCCAGAGACTTATATAATCTCTATCACTTACAGTACTTACCAGAGAGGGCTCTTAGTTCAGATGATCAAGATAAAGGGCTAATCAATCAGAGCTTTTCTTTTATTTGTGGTTCAGTCATTTCAGTCAAGTCCAACTCTTTGTGACCCCATTGGTGGTTTTCTTCGCAGAATTACTGGAGTGGTTTGCCATTTCCTTCTCCAGCTTAATTTACAGGTAAGGAAACTGAGGCAAACAGGATTAAGCGACTTGCTCCGGGTTACCCACCAAGTAAGTGTCTGAAGCTGGATTTGAACTCAGGTCTTCCTGACTCTATCCATTGTACCACCTAGCTTCCCCCTCCTCTTTATATATCCTTTCTGTATGAAGTCTTGTTTCTTACAATTCTCCTCTTTCTTGCTCCTCATTGGAGAACTTGTCCAGAGCCCTTCCTTCCCACTCCATCATAGCTCTTTTATTTTCATTAAGTGTCATTGCTCCTCTCACTACCATTGATTTGTTCCATAGCCCCTCCTGATGGGATCATTATTGCTCCCAGCTTTACTGCCACATAGGCCTACTTTGTGGTTGCCTTTAATCCAGCTCTCCTTAGGGTGAATACCCCCCATCTCCTCAGTTCTTACAGATTCACTTTCTGTAAGTGAAAGGTACCTGTCACCCAACCACCCACTTGGATTGGTCTTCTCCACAGCTCAGCTGTATTCCCATAGGATCAAAGATTTACAGTCAAAAGAGATTTCAGAGGACATCTAGTTCAACTGCCTCATTTTATAGATAAAGATGAATAATTAAGATGAAAGGAAGTTGAATCATTTTCCCAAGGTCACATAAATAATACATAGCAGAGGCAGGATTTGAACCTAGGTCTTCTGACCCCAGTCTCAGTGTTTTGTTCTGGGATTTCCCCCCAACCCCCACTGTCCTATGCTTATTTCAATAGATGAAGCTAATCCCATTCTTCATAGTCCTGGCTCTGAAATCTGGCTTTGTTTTTTTCCTTCATTTTTTTAAGTCATCCTGCAAACCTGGAATGTCCTCCTGCCTCAGTGCTGCCTTTGAACATTCGTGTTTCTTAAAGGCTCAGCTCATGTTCCAGTTTGCTCCTTGAAACTTTTCCTGATATCCCTATTTCATTAGTTTGTGTGCCCTCAAATGACCTTGCCCTTACTGATCTGTGTATGTGTTCCATCCCCTGAGGAGAATGGGATGTTTATGTAGGCAGAGGTCACTTTGTTGTGTATCTTTGAATTCTCCTTGCCTAGCATAGTGCTTCACATGTCACAGATGTTTAATAAATGTGGATTAAGTTGTTCTGAATCACAGTTCCTTCACACATCAGTCTATAATCCTCATGAGTTGTCATTGTTGAAAAAAAATATCCTTTGGTTGCCAACCTTTAGATGCTGTATCTCCTCAAATTTGGCTAAGTCGATCTACAGATAGGTGGTATAAATATTATCTGAATCAGAATTTGGGACAAATAATTTAACCAAAGGTGTTTCTTTGGAAAATTCTTATTAAAAGCATACTTACTTTTTTCAAAATTGGGATCATCCTAGAAAGTCCAGTATCTAGGATTGCCATAGATAACTTGTGTCTCATGATCTCAGATCTGAGCAGCATGAACTTCTTTTAGTCTCTGGAATCTCTCAATAATAACAATTTTTATGGTTGAGCCTCCATCCAGAGTTTAGCCCAGGGATGTCTGACTTTGACCTGTTTGCCTTTCTGGGGCCTTGATGCCCTATTAGCACTTAAGTTAACATCATTAACCAAAAATATGTGTTTATGAAAGTATAGCAATGATATTAAAAGGCAAAAGACTATCTCCCTACCTTCCAATACTATTTTTACTAATGCTAAGAGCAAATATTTATATAGTGTCTACTGGGTACTAAACATTGTGCAAAGTACTTTACAAATAGTGTTTCATTTCGATCCTCACAACATCCCTTTGAGATAGGTGCTATTATTATCTTGATATTATAGATGAGGAACCTGAGGCAAACACAGCTCATGGGACTTACCAATGGTCACACAGCTAGTTAATATCTTAGACTGGATTTGAGCTCATGTCTTCCTGACTTTAGGCCCACTACTCTATCTACTATGCCATCTAGCTGCCTTTATCAATATGCAACTTAGAAAACAATTTAGCAATACAAGTATAGATAACAAGCGCACTTAGCCCCTGTTGATATGAAATGTTTCAATTGAAAAGGCAATGTCTTCTGGGCACTCATCTACTTCTCTTTGAAGGGAGTCAACTTATTCCTCTACCTACCATTATGCCCACTTCCACTGTACTCTTGGACAGTTTCTCCCATTCATATGTAGCATTGTCAGTTTTACATGCTGACATTCTTCTTGGGGGATGGAGTGGGTGGAGGGAAGGGAGTAAGTATTTATATAGTACTTATTATGTGCCAGGCACTGTGCTATGTTTATGTAATCTCATTTGATCTTGTAACAGCTCTGCCAGGCAGGTGCTGTTACCTCGATTTTACAGTTGAGGGAACTGAGGCAAGCAGAGGTTAAGTGAGTTGCCCAAGGTCATGCAGCTAGTGCCTGAGGCCACATTTGAATTTAGGCCTTCCTGATCTCAAGTGTAGCACTCTATCCCCTGTACCACCTACCTACCTGCCTTTAGCTAATTGATCACTATTAGAGTAGAGACATAGCCCATTTCTAGAGACTGACCAGCGGTGCAGTCCCAGCCCTGGGTTGCATCCTCCTCCTCCAGCTAACTGGCAATATGGTCAGGAGCAATAATCCTGGACTTTGTTCTTAGTGGAAAAACCAGGTCACTGACTCAAGTCAGCTCAGACCACCCTTTACTCTTTACTTCTCCAACTCCATTCTTCCCAAGGGTGTAATACCGTTGCTCCAAAGAGCATCCATTCAGTTTGAAAGAAAATATAAACAGTTATTCCCCTCCCTGCCCATGCATGCTTTGGCCTCTTCCTGTCCTGTGCAAAGAGAGAGTGAGCTGTTCATCTAAGTCTTTCAGGACCTTCAGAGCCCCCAAAGTTACTACACTTAGAAATCAGTTTATATTAAATATGTATGATATACAAATAGCCTTTCAACAGTATGTTCTAAGTTGAAAAGAGAATAGTCTTATTAAAATTTTTTCTTAGAAAAAAGAAGCTGAAAAGGGCACACTTCAGGGGCATACTTCAAACAGGGATTAAAAATCGTAGGCTGAGGGCTGCATTAGCAAATAGGAAAGATTGGCTTGGGTGGTTGCCAGAGAAAGGATGTGATAGACTGTACGTTGGATGCTCTTCACTTTGGACATCTGAAAAGCCAGGGTGCTGAAGCAAATATGTTATGCAGGACTCTAAGGATGGAGGTTACACACTATCCTTTAAATTTGCTCTAGGGAGTATTTAGATTTAAGAGTTTGAAAGAGGCCTGATTTTGACATATGAATCAAATTTTTTTGTTGTTATGCTAAATTAAAAAGCCATATGCCTGTATTTTTTTTTATGTCTCCTATTTTCTGTTTCTTGTCATTCAGATAGCTCTTAGTGGAAGGAGAGAGACACAACCAAGTTTCATTTCTTTTGGGTTAGAAATGATACAGTTGGTGAGAGAGCAAGCAGTGAAGGAGTGTGGGCTTCATGGGATAAAGATGAAGAGGACAAGGTTCAACTATTCCTGTTAGTTGATGAGGGCCAAGCTAGAAGCCGTGGGGCTCAGGCTGTGACAGAGAAATTTTAGATTAATTTGTAGGGATAACTTGCTAATAGTAGGATAAATTCAGACAGTGCAAGAAGCAATGTGGAGGTGAGCACAGAACCCTTACTTAGAAGCAATAAAGACCAAGGTTATACACCCATCTCTCAAGGGTAATGAAATGTTTCTTGTCAAATGAAAGGCATAGAGTATTGCCAGAGTATAGTCTGGGGAGCAGTTTTTTGCAAAGGTCCTCTGAATTGTTCATCTAGAAGGGTGCTAAGGGCCATATTTTCTGCAAGAAGTCATAGGGAAGTTATCTGGAAACAAAGACTAGAGGGAATATTTAGATGGATAAAGGGACATTATTTTGAGTTATCTTTGGGGATCACTAAATCTTAGTGTTGGAAGAGACTATAGAGGTCATATCTTGTAACATCCTTCTCAAAACAAGAAGCCCTACCAGATGGCCATCCATCTTTCCTTAGCTTCAATATGTCCAGTGCCATAGTGCTCACTATCTTTCAAGATGTCTCATTTCAACATTGAACAGCTTAAGTCATTAGAAAGTAACTTTGTCTGCTGTTGAAATGTTTGCCCTCATAATTTCAGTCAATTTTC